TTAAGGAATATAAGTGGGTGCTACTTAGGCTAATTTTCTATAATGTTGAAAGCCACTGCACGGCCAATTGCTATGTCCCAGGTATTAGATTTGCGTACTTCTTAAGGAATGTTTTTGTGCTGTTTATGAGTGACTCCAATGCATATGTAGGTAGGGTTGAGCACGGGTTGCTTCGGTTAAAAGATCCAGAAATATCTGAAATTGAACCGAACTTCTGAGTTTCCAAAAACTGGATCTCTAAAACCGAATCGGTTACAATATATCTCCGTTCCAAACCGAACAAAATTTCGGAGATTTTTTATTTTTAATGGGTCAATTGGGAGATGCGGTTCTAATGGGTTAGTTCAGTACAAATCAGAAATTTCAGAGATTTTTTATTTTTATTTTTTATAATCTTTTTTTTTTTTAAAAAAAAATCTCCTAATTGCATGTTAGATGGTACATATTATGGATAGAAGAAAATCATAGTTTGAAAAGATATTTCGTTAATTAGTAGTAAGAATAGGTGGTTACAATCTTTTTTATTTTATTTTTTTAAAAAAAAGTGATAATTATCTTTTAGTTGCAAAATATCATAATTTAATTTGAAATATTTATATGCTAAATGCTTATATGCCAAAAAATAAGACATACCCATGAACAATAATCAATATAAACTTGTTAAATAAAAGGATAATAGTAAAATACCCGTGTATTACACGGGTGCTTGCTAAAAAATTATTCTTAAATTTTAAAATTAATGAGAAAACTATATTAAATTTAGTTTACATTTTTACAAAAAAATAAATATATTACTATATATTTTAGAATGATATGTGTTACTTATGACTTACATGTGTTATATTATATTAGTTTTTATAACTTATATCATATAACTACTTGAAATATAAATATATTAGTTGATAAATAATTTTATTTTTCTAATTAATATTAAAAATAATTTTATTATTGTTATAAAGATAAATATAAATTATTTTTTTTATACATACAATATGGATGTTAAATCGAAGCTCATCAAAAGAAGCTTAATTTGATATATTACATATGTAAAACTGATAAAAAAATACAAAAGTTATTAACTTTTAAAATATATATACAATTCAATAGTTATAATAAGGAATGATATTAAAATGCAATTAATACATGTAACATGACCATAAATAATCAACATATTTATGATAATCCGAACCTAATTATTTTTGGTTTGGAATTAAATAAAATTTACCCAAGCCTAATAACGAAGCATGTAATTTTGCCACATAGGATTCCGAAGCACCAGAAGCAGCCACGTAGGATCAGCGCGTTCTGGATTAATATATAGAGGGGATATAGGGGGGATTTTGGAAACGTAGTATGTCCAAATAAATTAATCTCTTCGATACCGTGAGATTCGAATATATTAGATATAAAGTTTATTTTCAACAAGTGAAGATATTTAATTTTATTAAATTATAATTAATTTTATTAATAGAATAATCAGTATATTTGTTCTTAATCTAATATTATAGTAAAGATATGTATCAATTTATTTCTATTTTAGGATATATCAAATTTAAATAAATAATTCCCTCCAAATTTTGTGGACTTCATAAAGGTCGGTTCCAAACATACGATATTTAAATTTTATTAAGTTATTATTAATTATTTTCTTAATAAAATATTTGATATGTTGGCTATCAATTTTTTTAATAGGAAGAGTATATTAATTTAATTTTCTTTTTAAAACAATGATTCGAAAATGAAATTTAGATTTAATAATGTCATAAGTAGTACCAAAAGAAAATAATTATTTTGTAATTATTAAATTCTTTTAACATTCAATATTGGATGTTTTTTCTCAATTCTATTCGAAATATAATTTATGAAGTTTTATGGATATAGACGTAATGTATATAGATTTTATTGGCTATTCAACTGTAAATACAATTATATACAAAGATGAAAAAAGACATATGATAAAATATTATACACATACACACACACACACACACACACACACACACACATATATATATATATATGTGAATTTTATGAATTGAAATCAGTTCTTGTTCGGTTCCTCGGTTCAGTACTGTTACTTTCGATCCGGTCTGGTTCTCGGTACGGATATCTTATAAAACTCCATAGTCGTACCCAAAAAAATTCCGTACGGTTCGATTCGAAGATAGTCAAACGGTCACAGATATTTCTCGGTTCAGGATGAATTTGATTCAGTTTTTAGAACGAGTCGGTAATCTCCAAGACCCGTGCTCAGTGCTATAAGGGAGAAACTTAAGAAAATATTTAAAAAGTGCATGAATAATTAATTAATAATTGTGATCACCTTTGTAGTTCAAATGGGCGGTTGACCGGTTGACCAGGCAAAGTTTTCTAAACTTACCACTACATAGGCTACACATTGTAACTTGTCATTTCTTATAAGAGGCACTAAGTAAAAACGTCAACAAAATGAAATCATTGATATACAGGGACAAGTTGTTGTTGAGAACAATTAATAAGCATCCACTAAAATTTTCAAACAATCAGAATTTTGACCATGACTGACTAATCGTTATATGGCTTTGCCCTATTGTTAGAATTCAAAGATCCAATTTCCAGTATTGCAGTTTTTTCTTTTAGTCTCGTTTATACAGAAATTCTATGGAGCCATGATATAGTTTTTTATGTAATCATTCATCACTTAAAATAATGACAAGTGTCCAAATTGTATTTATTGTAGGACACGTGTCAATATACTTGTTGTTATGCGATTGTTAACAACGATCTAAAGTAGATTTAATTGATTAAGTTTAGTGATTTGAACGTAACATATGCGATAAAAACTCAACAAGGCCCCGGTCCGAGGTGAACCGAGGTGAAAAGCTTCTGTGAGCTGTTTCGTGTTTCATGGTAAAAATTTCAGTTTTTTGGATCCCCCTGTACAAGTATTCGGGGTGTGTTATATATAGTAACCTTTTACATATTGGGATTTGTACACAGCTTTTTTCATAAAGCTACTTTTGGTGGGCGGCATTGTCAGCGGGCCCCACTTGGTCTCGTGATTTGTGAAGGAGGCATGTAGGTGCCTTGTCACCAGCTTAGGAGGTGGTGACCTCGGTTCAGTGCAACTTCGGTTCTGGGATGACCTCGGTTGTAAGGATCACCTCAGTCTTTTATAGCTTGGTCGGTTCGGTAGGCGGACCGGGATAATTGTTAGCCGTGTTATTGTTGGTAATAATCCACTTAATACGCAGTTCGAGGCTAATAACTTCGGGTTACCGAGTTAGATGATAACAATACTATTCGTGAATAAGTGTGGATGACTCCATATATAAGTCGTGTCATCCGATGACTCCATAGCAAAACTGTTCGTTTGTAATGATACTTGAACATGGTTTGTTTCACTTTAAATTTATCAAAACCTAAGGTATTTTTAAAAATACTTTTGTATATATTGTTTGCAAGCACCATGTATACCACAATAAATATGATAATAAAAATAATATTAAGTAATTATAATAAATCCTCCCTATATATAATTCCAAAATGCGCTGAGCCTACGTGGCTGCTTCTGGTGCTTCGGAATCCTATTTGGCGAAGAATCATGCTTCGTAATTAGGTTTGGACAGATAATATTAATATATTAATAATTAATAATCTAGGTTCGGGTATTCCATAAATATTATTTAGCTAATTTAGGTATTTTAATATCACTTTTACTAATATAACCCTTTAATTCTTTGTAATTTTACATAATGAGGCATTAAGTGACTAATATATCCCTAAATTTTAATTTGTTTCCTTCAATAAGCTATTGAAATATAAATGTATTTTAAAAGTAAATAACTTTTGTATTTCTTATCGGTTTTACATATATAATATATCAAATTAATCATCTTTTGATGATCTTCGATTTGACATCCATATTGTATATATAAAATAAATAAATTATATTTATCTTTATAATAATAAAAAATAATAATATTTATTAAAATTCATTAGAAAAATAAAATTATTTCTCAATCGATATATTTATATTTAATATAGTTATATATTGTAAGTTAAAAAATTAGTATAATATAACACAAGTAAGTCGCACAAATAAAAAGTATCATAATAAATATATAATAATATATATATTCTTGTAAAAGGTATT